CAAAAAGGAACATGTGGAATACTTTATCGAATGGAAGTATGTATATATATTTAGTTCGAATGATAAACATACAAAAGTTTAGGGTTCGAATCTATATACGAGACAAAGATGGATGGATCAAGTTAATTTATTTCTACTTGATTTTATCATGGCTGATCTCGTAAAATATAATTCCTTGTCAAACCACTAATCGATTTCATTTAGTCGATTTAGTCACCTTTTCTCGGAAACAATAAATTCTTATTTATCTTATTGAGAATAAGAAAACGAAATAAGTTTTCTTTACTTAATTTTCGTTTCTGAATTCTCAAAAATTAAAATATTTTACTTTACATTACCCCATATAAGATTTATTTATCTACTTATATTAGGTACTTTGTAATGTGACATTTTTTTTTTTATTTTCTTAGGATATGCCATTCACAGCTGAAGGTATAACACCAGATTTAATTATTAATCCTCATGCTATACCATCACGTATGACAATTGGACATTTAATTGAATGTTTACAAAGTAAAGTAGCAGCAAATAAAGGTGAAATAGGTGATGCAACACCATTTAATGATAATGTTAATGTTAAACATATGTCTGAAATGTTACATGAATATGGTTATCATTTACGTGGTAATGAAGTTATGTATAATGGTATGACGGGAAGAAAACTTAATTGTCAAATATTTTTGGGACCAACTTAGTAAAGACGTTTTTTTTTCTTTCTTTAAGAGAATTTTGTTTAATTTAGTTATCAACGACTTAAACATATGGTCGATGATAAAATACATTCTCGTGCTCGTGGTCCAGTACAAATTCTTAATCGACAACCAATGGAAGGTCGATCACGTGATGGTGGTCTACGTTTTGGTGAGATGGAACGTGATTGTCAAATATCACATGGTGCAGCACAATTTCTTAAAGAACGTCTTTTTGAAGTATCAGATCCATATCGAGTACATGTTTGTAATATTTGTGGACTTTTGGCTGTTGCAAATCTAGCTGAAAAAACATATAGTTGTAAAGGATGTACAAATACAACACTAGTATGTCGATTGAATAAACATAAAAATAATATATTTCATTTTTCTTTTTTAAATAGATATCACAAGTACGTTTGCCATATGCATGTAAACTTCTATTTCAAGAACTTATGGCAATGAATATTGCACCTCGGATGATGGTTGATTAAGCTATTTCTTTTTGTGTTTGTCTTTTTTTTGTTGATCTTGATTATGTATATAAACAACTTCAAGTTTAAAGAAATTTGAAGATTCAAAGAAAAAAAAAAACAAATGAATTTACGAAAAAAAAAAAACTAAATCTCTTTTGATGACTAATTGTTTGTCACTTGTTTGTTTGTTTTTTTATTGTATTCAACTAAAAGAGAAAAAAGTTAATTTTTTAGAAAACATGGAAAAAAGTATTTTTTTTTAAATATTCGATACAGTAATATATTGGCATCGGAGAAGGTTACAGGATCAATTATTCGTTCTGTTGTAGAGGATAAAGAATGGCTTGTCAGTACTAATGAGAAGAGTCAAAACATGGATGTTTTTTGTAATAATCATGGCGAAACGTATATATTTAAAAAAATTCGTGTCTCGGAGAGGTTTAACAGAAAAGTCTTTATGTGGATAAAGTTTGAGGTCAAAATTCAAAAGTGCGACTTCTCTTGAAAACTAGGTCTCTACACGAAAAACTCCGCTAAAAGATTGATATCTTAGTAACAAAGGCTTGGCTGTTCAAATCACTCTAAAGTATTTACTCACTCAGTAGATTCTATCGACTGAATATAATTTTAGCTTAAATGCTATTTATTACTTGAGAATCTTCCCTTGTGAGTTGCACCTCATAGCAAGCAACGTCACTTTCAACGTATTGTATTTCAGATCTGGTAGTCTCTTATCATAGACGTATGTTAATAAACTTTAAAAAGGAAATGAGCAATAAAAAAAGTACTCAACATCCGTAAGGTAAATAAAACAAACATAAAGACTCAGAACATGAGAAAAGATAGTTTTTCGTGCTATTGGTTTTTCTTGAACTTATCCTATGAGTGAATAAATAGTATGTTATCAATTTGACTTAATGATAAACGTATTCATCTTCGATATAATTGATAGGCAAGCTCTAAAATCTTATCATGTTGGAAATGTTTTCATTTAGAACTACTATTCTAGAAATTTATTAGANTGGAAACATTTAATCTGTTTCACCCGTTAGTGAAGTTTTACACAAAAACAGTTTTTATCGAAATTTCATTATTATGATACCAGCTGAATAGGGATGAAATAGCACAGAAAAATAGAGCTTCATTTTCTCTATCATCTCATAAAAACAGAAAATTCCATCAAGCCTTCTATACGAAATTGAGATGCGACCGCCACTACTTTTGGGTACCCCTACGTAATATAATGCATCTGATAGAGAACTTCATTAGCTATCTAAATCACAATTGGAATTTTAGTTAGCTACTTAGTATCGTAGAAAAACTTCATCAATAGCGTGAGCTTAGGTTTTTTAGTAGTATTGTACAAATACTTATGAAGGTGAATCTTTCGTCGAACGTAGTCGATAATGACGACGCACTCTATTTGGCCAATGCATTATTTCAATTAACTTATTGAAGACAACCCCTTTACTTACCTAACATCTATACACTACTTTATCATTATACATAAACATAGATATGATATCGAATCTTTTATAACATCAAAATTGATAATAAATGAACATAATGCATTAGAATGTCAAACGATGAGAGAAAATTCGTTCTCATTATATCACTAAAATTGAACAGGACCGTCTTATCCGTATCTATCTACCACATATCGACTATTACCATGTAACACAGACCTTCACGATACTGAATCTTGCATCGAATCGAATCATTATTATAAAAATAGGATCAGCAGTTAATGCATTTCTAAATAATACAATGAGAAAATTTCTTTACTCATCTATGGTAAAATTCACTGCTTTCATTTGACAAAAAATATCTATAATGTTAAATCTTCTATGTGAACACAGTATCTATTAAATTCCTTAGAAAATATATCAGTAATAGTTATATTATAAAAATGAGTCATGTACATTCTTTTAGTTATAATTAACTGTTTATTTTTAGAGCAACATCATTCATACTGTAAAGAAAAAACCTTTCTTAGATGAATACTGTTGGAACTTTGCAAGAGAGTTGAATATTGAGAGTAGTTATATATATTTTACTATGAAAAGGAAAAAAATGCTTCAGTATATAAGTATCTTTACTAGTTTTCAAGTAATCAGAAATCATTCTCTGTGTTATTTATCTTCCTTCATTTGAATATTTATAAATCCAAAAAATTTCCAAGAGAATACTCTATCACTGCGTTTAATTATTCCTTTTTTTTTTCGTTTTAAAATATCAGATACAAAACTATGTGAAACATTCGATTTTTCAGAGAATTCACATTTTGATGGATCATTACTATTATTGTAATCATTAATTAAGTGAATTTTTCATCTAATGAAAGATAATGTTGTGATGTCATTGCTTTTCCTAATACGCACAGTTTGTAACAAAGAATAAACAGTAGTTATAGTGCATTAACCAGAAACAAAGAGAAAAGTACACGTGTATTCATTTAGAAGAGGTTAAAATAGCAATCGGAACTATAAAAACAATGTTCAAGTTCAAAGTCAGAAGATGTATTTCCTGCAAGAATCGTTTCATAGGATCAAGAACTTATTCACAATAGGATATATTCACTAATAGAAGTTTTCTTGTGTACTATTTCATTAATTTTTTTTACAATACTATTAGTTATATCTTTTTCATACTAAGAATAGCTTTCAATGTCAATTCCTAACTAGTAACACATAATTTTTATTTGTTCTTCAAATTATTAAAATCAATTACTCGAAAATGTTTGGAATGTATGATGCAAAAAAAAAAAAATTCATTTTTAAAATCACAAATTCAAGAAATATACATATCTGTTGTTATGTTCGATAAAGTGATAATGAGTTAGACAAATTTTTTCAAACAATTGTATGCATACAAACAGCAGTATCCTATTTCAACTTGTTCAATCTCATGTTCATCATTCTTTTTTTTTTCGCTGTCTTATTTGTTCGCAACATGACATAATGAACAAGACATGCTCAAGTATCCGTAGTCATCATCATCATCATCATTGCAATTATTATCTACATACACGCATCTTCTTTCATTCATTTACTGATCGCGCAATCGACAATAAGAAAGGAAAAAAAAGAAATGCAAATTTTGCTTATTACAGATAAAAATGAAGTTATCATCTGACAGAAGAAAAAAAAAACGAGTGCATTTTTACTTGATTATATTGTGAATAGTAATTTGAAGTGACCTTTTTAATCTAAGCTTACATATATAATCAAGAATATAGTCTACTAGTAGTTGAATATAAGTGAGATTGAAATAATGCATATTTGTACTTTTCTTTTTTTTTTTCAATTAGTCTTTCTATTCAATGAGTTTTAACTAGACAATAAAACATATCTTTTGCTTTTTATTTTGACATCAATGAACAAAAGAAATTCATTTTCGATAACATAAACTCTATACTATTTGACATCTTGTATTTTCAAGTAGCACACGTGACTGATTTTTTTTTTAATATTCCAATTAATCCAATCGTCAGTCATTTATTCTTGCTTGACCGATTCGCCAAGGATCGGCTTAATGGGTTGCTAGCAAAAAATGCAAATAGTTGAAATAGTATGTCTCTTTTATCTTTGCTCATTTGGACATTCGTATGTCATCCATTCATCTGTCAATATCTTTTTTTGTTCTCTAGAGGGTTTCATCATCTTCTTCTATTTTTTTTCTTTTCCTCTTAGAAACAAATTTACCTGCTGATTTCCGTATGACACAAAAAAAAACAAAATATTAAACACCTATAGTGATAATCAATTAACACAGTTGGATATTCTTAGTTATACATTTATATATATATATATATAATTCATCTGACTATTACTGTTCATACAAAAAACAGTCTATAATAAACAATGAATAAAATAGAAAAAAGATGATTGATTAGAGAATAATGTCGTTTGGAATTATTTGATAGTAAAGCACTGATACGTTGACGTTGTAAAACATCTGAAGAGAAAAAAAAATTATTAATAAAATAAGAACAAAAAAAAAAACAAAAAAAGAGTAATTCAACCTTTTTCAACAATTAATTTTGCCGTACGTCGTTGACGTTTATAAGCACATGTCCATATACCTGAATGATATGTTTGTGCATGATAAATAATTAAATATGAATTTAATCTATTATTTATCAATTTTCTTCGTACATGAATATTATCAGGTTTTGTTTTATTGAATTGATTTGATACAAAAAACCAATTTATGGATGTTAATAATGATTTATTGTTATCATTATCAATTAAAATACTACAATTTAATTTAACATTTGTTCCTGGTTCGACATAAAGATATGAAGGAGATAGAATCATAGGTATTTGTATATGTAAATATATAGAAGTACTTATAGTTGCTCGTCGATTAGCAATTTGACAAAGATAAATTCCTTCATCAGATAAATTTAATTGATATATTTCTAATGACCAATAAGAATCTCTTGTTGATGTTGAATATAATGATATCGAATAACGTTTATCCGTTGTAAATAATTCTTTTCCAACGGCTAATGGATACGATAAAGATGTTAAGGAATCATATTTAAACCATGTTACATGATGTTCACCTAAATCACGTATATGACATGTTAAAATAGCTGTAGAAGATAAATTTAATGTTTGATTATATGTTTTTGTTAATATTTGTGGAAAATTTTTTACAGCTATTATTAATTTTATCATTAATATAACTAAAGTAAAATAAAACAAAAACATACACGATCATCAAAAATCAAATCGTTGAATTTAAGTAAGATAATAACTTACTAAGAGTAAGTAAAAATACTTGTTTAAGTTGAAACATCATCATCAATTTGACACTTTTGCATCACTGTTTGACATATACACATAAACTGCATATGATATTTGTTTGCAATTGATTGTGTAATATAGTAACTACGTTTTTCTTTTCAATAGAACATGTTGGTACTAGTTGATGAACAACGACATATGAGATGAGTAAAGAGAGAACGTGTACAAAAGAAGATGAACGAAGATTATGCTTATTCTCTCTCTCTCTCTCTTTCTCTCTAACGCTGGTGACGATTGAAGAGACGATGAGGGAAAAGACGAAAGAAAAAAGAAAAGAAAAATAAACTTAGACTAATGGAATTAAGAATAGGAAGAGAAAAGATATCTAAGTTGGATATGTGGATTAAAACTGACTATAAAAGAGCGACATATACAAAAACAATAAATAAAATATTCATTGCCTTTTGTTCAAAAGGGATTTTCGAATAAGAGAAAAAAGAAAAAGAAGATCAAACGGCGTGCATACAAATTGAATGATGATGCATCTCATTTGTTTTTCAAACTTTTGACAAGATCAATGTATATACATATATTCATACCAGGTGATTCTATCATTGAATATATCACACCTCACATATATACTTCATTTGTTTTGAGTACAATTAGTTTTTCTAGTGTGCGTGATTCAAGTGACAAATATACTTATTGTCTTTTAGTCTACTGGTACCATATGACATGAAGACACATACGCGTGCCTATCTGAGTCAATTAGATTTTGACGCTCTTGCACACACATACATATATATATATATATGTAGGAGTACTTACTTATTCGTTTACTTGTGTCAGACACATAAGTATTGACGCTTGTCATTATTATTGTCGTCAGACTCAATATGAAAATATTAAATTGCTTTCTTCTATGAAATTATTTGTTTTTGAATTCTACTTTAAGAAATATGATTATCTATTTCATATAGATAGATTAGCTGTTTGTGATTACAGAGATATGTTGAATGTGATGATTGGCAAATCAAGGCTTTTCTTTTTGTTCAATCATCATGAATAATATATCAAGTGCTGAAAAGACTGTCAACACATCAAACTGTCAAATAAAAAAAATGATTATGTAGTTAATATATATATATATATAGAGATATACATATTTCGATCTCATTTAATTTAATCGATCCAATAACAAAAATAAAACAGAATGATTGAATACAACTATTCGGCATGTGCAAGACATTTGTTATAGTGATCAAGCATTAGAAAAAAAAATAATATGAACAAGATGAGCATAAATATTCGATAGACCGAGAAAGAAAAGTACGATATTTATGTCTAATCTGATAAACGATATAGACATACTGTGTGAATATTGTCTTGTGAGTAGTTGTGCTGCTTTGTTTTTGTTAGAATGATATAGATAACAGGTTGAACTCAATTAGACTGATGGGTTCCTTACATATATACAAATGTCCGATAAGAAATACAGATTTGTATAACATTCTTCTTCAGTCTGGAAGGCATTTGAAGATATAGTAGTTCAAGAAATTATACGACCAAGTTTATTTTAATTTTTCTTTCGCTGTTATAAACATGAATAAAAATATTAATAGTAATTTGAGTAGATAAAAATGTTTGACAGTTTTACTAGGTGTTGATCTCAGAAAAACCAATAAAGATATAGACCCTTTTTTATGGATAGTGTACACAATATGCATATTGTTGAAAGCTTCTTATCTTGATATTAAATGATTCTTAGATCTGAAAAAAATTGCATTTTAGTTTTCTAAAGGTCTTATTCGATGAAACTAATAAGCAATTTTATCTTCAAAAGTTCTTGTTGGAAAAAATTCGCTACTCAAATCACTATTTGGATTTCTATTAACGGTTACAATAGCAGAAAAAAAGATTGAAAATTAACCAGGTCGAATAATTTCAGGATTCGAGACATTCGGACTCTATTTAAAAAAAAGTAAATGTACGTTTTATTACATTATTTTTTGCAATTGATCAGGTTAAATTATAAGCTAAAGTTTTAATATAGTAACATCATTTCAATCGATTTTAGCATGTTGATAGTTGTAAAGGAAAAGCTAGACTAGGATAAATTTAATTTCTTGTGGGCTCCTTTGTGAAGTGATTACTTGATATCTTAGTAATATCATTTTAAATATGACTAGCAAAAGATTAAGAAAACGAAAAATACAAATACTTACAAGTGTAAGTATAATTATTGATTTGTAAATATTTCCATGTCAATAATTGTTTTGATTGTCATGCTTCACTTGGTCTAATTGAAGTAACATTTTTTTTTTTTTCGAAATATGAATAATATAATTTATATCAACATGATTGTTATTCAATAGATCATGAAAATTTAAATTTTTAAATATAAGATAAATTTTTGTCTAGAAAATAAAAGTAGTCTTCTATGAAAAATCAGACATAAGATTATTCTTTTTTTTTTTTAAATCATTATAAGATCAATCGTCTGATCTTACAGCTTAAGAGAAATTCTCATTAGAAATTCTTTGCACAGTCAACGAAAATATCATATTAATAGGATTATCAGATTACCATATAAAAAAAAAAAAAACAAAGTTTGAGCAACGTCTTTTAGTAGATGTCAAAGCAATAGTAAATTTATTTCAAGCAGAAGAAAAAACATCATCAGCTCATTCTATTTAATTTCTACTCATGTGAACAATACTACATACAAAATCATAAAATACTTGGTATATACAGTGCTGTATAAATTCGATCTATAAGACTCATAGACAAATCCAAGGATAAGTATTTTAAACATAGGAGTCAATATATGAAAATAAAGACTGATTTCTACCATAATTTATACAACTATAGTTATTAGACTCCTATTTAATGTATAAATCGAATTTGATTTAAATGTAAATCGTCTTCGAACTCATCAATCAATAGAAATTGCTAAATCAAAGATGCATAGGACAAAGAAATACAATTGCGAAACCTTCTTATGAATAGCACAACGATAAAAAAAAGAAACCATTTGAAAAAAAATCTGTTTTCTAGCAGAAAAAGATGTTAGCGCAAACCCTGCGGGATTAAAATGTGAAACACGATGTAGCTACTATTGTTAATCATAGGAGATTGATTTATTCTATCTATTTTGGAACACGTTTTGTCACCAATTTTTTTTATTTAATCGTTCGGAAATGCAATACTATGTATATGTGGTCTATGGGATTGATTCAAGTTTTTATTCCTATACTTCAACACCTTCTTTTAGATCGTATTTCAAAAAAGTATTATTACCAGAAAATCAAATTCCAGATTAATCAACAATACATTTCTTTTTAGTCTAAATAAAATATCTGTAAAAGTCAAAACAGCGAAATAATTAAAAATAATGCATGAATAATGAATTTACAACTAAAGCATAGATCTGTTGTAAACCATTGGCTCGTGTAATTTACGTAAGGGCGAAATCAACGAAAACAGAATTTGACCATTTTCGACTTGATTTTGATTCTTTATTAGGATTATTTTTCTTGAACATATTGTTTTTCCGATGAATATACAGGGAGTACCAAAATTATTCAGCAAAGTTTGTTTTCAATTTTCCGTTGTCGTAAGCATTACAAAGAATTCAAATATTGAAAAAAGTGAAAATATCAAGGATTTAGCTGTTTATTGATTAGTCTCAGAAAAAAGGCAACGTACCATTACTTATTATTCTTCACTTTCCTATCATTCGATACTTAATAAATTAAAAGTTTTCGCTTAGTTGAATAGAACATTATGTTAGTAAAACACGAAATTGAACAGTTATTTGATAACTATATCATAAAATTCAATTTTATCTTACTCAACTAAGATTTATCAATGTTTGGTGTCCTCAAAAAGATTAAGTTAGAGAGTAAATCTTTTTTTATACACTTCAGAATGTATAATATCTCTCAGCGAGCTTGCGGCACACACTGAAAACGTGATTCGAATTTATTTTTTGGTACGTCTATTATGTCGTTTCTGGAAAATGGAACAATTACTATTTTTCCAGTTTAATTTGAATTATTTTTGTCTACTCTTGAAGTACAAAACGGTAAGATTCTAAGATTCAGCCGCCTCGAATCGATTTGATCCTAATCATTGATCGATATCTCTATGTTCTTAATTAAAGTTTAATCGAGAAATAATCTCGAAAAAAAGATTAACGAAAACGCATAAATTCAGTATGTCTTGTCGTTTTGGTTATATGCCGCTGCATTCACAAAACAAAACGATCAATGCGTGTTTAGCCAACAGATCACAACACATTTTATTCTAGTGCGTTGAGTAAGCCTCAATGCGAAAGTTCAAATTTATCTATAATAGAAAATACTTCATATTGTGTAGAATTGTTTTGGAAATTAATGTTACTGCAAAAATCGGTATCATTTGTATCACTCAGATGCGTTTTTACGATGATCGTAAACGGTGTCTTTACGGTCAAGTTCAGATGATGGTATGTATCTGCATTTTCATCCTATATACACCATATCGTATACGGTCACAAGGTAAGCATCTGTAAAAATAACAAAGTTTATGAAAAACCTATCTTTACATCATGACAAACTTTTAAATGTTTTTGTCACATCAAACAAGTGAATGCTGTAGAGAAATGATCTTTTTAGTGTGATGCTAATCATACTAAGTCGATAGATTTTCGCGGCATTAGACACTTGTGAATCAGTGATCATGGTGAGAAATAGAATGAATGTAATGTAATGAACAGTATTGAATTGATTTTTAATGCATCTTGATTGATTCAAAATCGTCGACGCGATTTAAGAATATAGACAAACAGTAACAAAAAGAGCTGTTCATGAGATGCAATCGCATACAAAGAAAGCAAAGAAGAAAGAAAAATACAATACTACGTTTCAGCAGTAGTCCTTTGTTTACATATTTTATCGTCACATTTTCATTCACCGTACAGACACGAACGAGCGAAAAAAAAACGACGACACCGATAATAACAATTGCTTTGTGTTTTGTTTTTTTTCGTTGTTAACGAAATTTTTTGTT